GGCTGTTTAGCCAACTCCCCTAGATGAACTGCTAATAGTCCACCAACCCGGTTATAGCCCGTATGTCGGCTTTTCGTCCTCTCACTTTGGTGCGAAAACCTCCGCCACGAGAAGGCCGTGAGTAGGGCTTCCTCAGCAGAGGATATTTGAGACGCTTGGTCGTATGGGGGCATTTCGCGAGGTGCAAGGGCAGGGTGACCAGCCGCAACCACAGACACCCACTCCCGATCATACTGAGGCTTTTGGAGGCCATCTATGAGGACGGGGGTATTACCAGAGAACGCGTAAAGCAACGCTTGTTGCTCTATATAAGTCAGGACCTAGGCATAAGGTAAGCAACTACTGACCAGTTAGCCTGACATCCCTTTTGTGCAAATGCTTGCAACGGGTTATCAGGGGGGGGATATGTAAGCACCTAACCACCCACAACTTGTTGGCACCAGCGCAGCATGAGTTCACGGAGAGAATATCATGCCTGAGTAACCTGCTCGCCTTTTTGGATGAGGTTAAAGGCTGGATGACGGTCAGCAGGTCAAAGTCTGCTACCTCGGCTTCTGCAAAACCTTCGATTTAGTCAGCCATATGCTTCTAGACCGCAAGCTACAGGATGTCGGGTTTCAGAGGCAGTAAGAAATTGGGTGGTACGGTTCCTCAGCCATCGCACGTTATGTGAAGGTTGGTGATTATCTGAGTAAGCCTGCAAGAGTAATAAGCAGAGTGCCTCAAGGATCAGTACTAAGACCACTACTCCTCCCAATTTACATCAACGATTTTACACGGGATCTCCAAAATCCCTGTTTCATGTTCGCGGACGATGTGAAAGTAGCCGGAAAAAATCTAGAGTGCAACGTAGAAGCGGTTAGAAAATGGTCGATTCAGTGAGACTTACCACTAAATCTCGGAAAGTGCCATCTCCTAACCGCAAGAGCCGATACCGCCCGGAAGGGGCAGCTGCGACTGCAACACACAGGTGGTTAAGGACTTACGAGTTATTCTTATGACGAGCTTCAAGCCCGAAACACAAGGCAGCCAATAAGGCCCGTGGTGAGCTCTTCAGGTTGTGTGCTACCCCTACCTGTAGAAACGCAAAGGTCTTTGTACCTATCTACAAGGCCATAGTTCGCCCGCACTTAGAATACTGTGTTCAAGCATGGGTACCATGCTATAGAAAGGATATAGCATGCCTGGAGAAGGCGCAACGACTTTTCACCCGAATGGTAGCTTGGCAAAAGGGAAAAAGCTGTGAACAGCGATTGATAGACCTGAATCTCTTTTCTCTGGAACGAAGATGACTGCAAGGAGACCTGATAGAAACCTGTAAACTAGTCAGAGGGCTATCAGGACTCCAGCAGATGACTTGTTTACGGTCTCCTGTGCTCAACACGCGACGGGTCATAGTATAATGAGAAGGCGAGTCGGCTGGCAAAATGATTATTGATCCAATTCAAAATAACCGGTGTATGCGTTCAACTATATACAATCAATTCTTAACCGTGCGGCAGGATGATTCATGCCTCATCCTGCGGGCCAATCACTGTTGATTTTGGTCCGCACTTGACACGTACGTTGCCTCTTCCGCGTGCCGTCCCGACTGATTTGACCCAATCGTAGCGCGAGATACGTTGATCGACAGCTCCGACGTGGTTTTCGGTGGATATCTTTCTGGCTAGATGCGGATTGTCCGTCGGGCTGTAATTGTCGATTCGTTCGTTTCGAGTGATAGTCGACATCGTCTCACGAAGCACTTCCAGCCGCTACGTCTGCGCATCTGGTTGGATGGGCCCTATTCTTGATTCGTTTGCTAGCCGTGGCTCTTTTTGTACCACCTTGCATCACAATATGTTT